ACCGGCGGCCGCAGGTCACGGTGGGGCGGTCGGACGTCGCCTGGGAAGATGCAGCGCTGCAGACACTGTCGCGCCTCGCGGCACAGTGGGACGTCGTCGAGTGCGATGACCCGCCCGTCGCGGGCGCCCCGGGGACGTCGATCACGGCTCGTGCGACGCGCCGCGCAGGTACTCGTTTGCGATGCAGTCGCGGTGTGGAAACCGGCTGCGAGACGCGCGACTCGCCACGCGCGACAACACAGAAAGTCTCGTCTTTGCTGTCACCACGTGCGTCCGCCGCTGTCGACGACGGGCCCAAAGCTCCCCGCAGGCGCGACGACGACGAGGTCATCGCATGCGTCGAGCTGCGATTGAAAGACGCCGACGGTCCGTCGCCGCACGTCGTGCCAAAGCTCCGACGATGGATATGACCAGGTTCGGCCCCGCCGGCGTTTCCGCGCTTCCAGGAGTGGAACGAGCAGCCGCTGCCGTACATTTCCAACGTCTGCGTCGCGCCACAGTTCCGGCGGTGAGTTGCTCCCCGGACACGCGTTTCTCGGCTCGCGTCTTCGTTTTCGGCAGCGCACCGCACCGCATCGGGAGCTGCGTGGACGCCTCGCCCAACGAGGCGCCGCCCGACGCAGGCGCGGCGTCGCTGCGGCGTTGCTCGACGTGCGCCACTGCCTCGTCGATTGCGTCCCTTCTCGATTGGGAAGCGCGGCGTGCGGCCGTCCTCCGACGCGCACGGTTGCAGGCCGCCGAGTACATTTCAGCAGAGGTCTGGGGCTACGACGCCGTCTTCCTCCATGTCGGCAGCGCCAACGCCAACGCCCGAAGGCTCTACGAAGCATCGAAGTACGTCGAGGTACGCGACCTCTTCGAGGAGCCGCTTGCGTACTACGGCAAGCGCCTCGCGGGCGCGCGCGACCTCGTCGAGACGGCGACCGCGGCGGCCCGGTCCAAGGCGCTCGGCCGGTGGCACTGGCGGAGAGGCGCCGCGCTCCTGCCGCGGCCGCTCCGCCTCGCGCTCGCCGCCGCGTGGCCCGAGGACGCTCCGCACGCGACCCAAGAAAGTCGACGAGACACAAAGTGACCGCCCTTGCAGTGATAAGCTACTGATTACTCGGAGACGCCGCCGGAGGGCCATCTTCGTAGCGCGCGAGGCGCAGCGCCGCGCCGTCGCAGGCGCGGTCCGGCGCGGCGAGGGGCGAAATGCTGCGTGCCGCAACGGCGTGGCGCCAAGCGAGGCGGGCGTGCGCCGCGCCGCCCGCGCCGTCCGCCGCGCCCACGTCGACGAAGACGAGGCGGCGTGGCTTCCGGAAGGCGTCGATGGCCGACGCCGCGTGCGTGTAGAGATCGGCGTCGATGAGGGCCGCGTCGAGGTTCTTGCCGCCGACGAGGCGCGCCGTCAATGCGGCGGCGTCTACGCACGTCACCGCGATACGACCTAGGCCTCTGTCAGCCGCGGGGTGCGCCCCTCGGCGAGGGCACCTTGATGCGCCGTCTCGAGGTCGCGGAGCTGCGCCTCGTGCGCCGCACAGTCGCCGAAAAAGGCGTCGACGCTGAGCCGCGCGAGCAGCAGTTGCCCCTGCGACTTTGGTGAGGACGTCGAAGAGTTTCCGGCGACGCGATTCGGGCGCCGGGCGCCGCACTTTTGCTCCACAGTCGACGCCCACCGACGCCCCGAGGCGTACTCGACTCGTCGCACGATCAGGTGAAAGAGGGAACGCCACTGACGAGCATTTCGACGTCGGATCCGACGTACGCAACGACCCTCGCCGCAGCCGTCTCCGCGGCTCCGAGGCTCGCGACGATGCACGCCGCCGTCTTCACCGGCCCCGCGCGCCCTCGGGGGAACGCCCGGGGCTCGTCGACGACGTGCGAGGCCGCCTAGAGAGGTGCCAAAGTGAGCGTCTAGACTATTTCGACGAGGCGGCGGCCGGCCGGCTTTAGGGGGCTCACGACGTCGAGGCGGAGCTGGTCGCGGAGGTAGTTTTGGCAGTGCTGCGATCCGGGCGTCCAGCCTTTGACGACGTTAGCCATGTCACGATCGAAGCGGCGCCCTTCATCCGAGGAACCGCAAAAGTCGTCATCGATCATGCCGTCGTCCTGTCGCAGCGACGCCGCCGAAACCTCCAGGACCCGCGGCTCGATGCTGCCCGCGGCCTCGTGGTAGAACGGGACGCGGAACACCGCGCCCGACGCGCCCCGCGGCACGTCGGCTGCGGCCGCGTCGTCTATTTCGCCGGCCGCGGGCGCGAGCGGGACGCATTCGAGGAGGCCGTTGAAGCAGGGTGCCGCCGCTCGCGTCCGCCGCTCCGCCGCGAGCGCGGCGCGCATCGCCGCCTCGTACATGGCGCAGTCGCTTCCCGCCTCTGCGAGGCCGACGCTCCCGCAGCGCCGGAAGCCGCGCGCGGGAGAGACGGCCTCCCGGAAGCACTTGAGCGCCGACGGGAACACGACGACGGCGTCGTCGCCCCGCGCGTCGGCGCGGGGGCGCGGGCACTGCGCGTCGCACTGCGCAAGCCTGCGTCCGAGGGCTTTGAGGCGTCCGGGGCGACGAGGCCCAAACCTCGACGGCGAAAGACGCGGCGGGCGGACGTCGCTCGGACCAGTCGGAGCCTTCCCGCCGTTTCTCGACTCGGCGGCGCACCGGCGCGCAGCGCGCGCGCGACGGCGTCGGCGAGCGCGCGGTAACTTCGGGCCGCCAGCGGTTTCCGGACGAGCTCCTCGCCCACGAGGACGTACTCGGCAGCGTACGTCAAGTTGGCCGAGCCTCGCGCGCCGGGCGCCGGGCCGAACAAATTCGACGGCGGGGGCCACGTGCAGGGCTTTGTGAGGACCGTCTCGGTGAGCCGCCGCGTGGCCAAGGCGAGCGCGTCGTGGCCGCTGCCAATGTTCGAGCCGTGGCCGGCGCCCCTGCTCGAGGCCTCGAGGAAGAGCGGCGCCGTCGAAACGTACGTCTCGTCGAACGCGAATAAAAGATAGTCTGCGGCAAAGTTGAGCGTGCTCGCAGCGGTCAGGTCGAAGCGCGCGACGGGGCCCGCGCACGCTTCCGCGGCGCAGTACGCCTCCTCGCCGCCGCCCGTACCGCCTGCGCCACCCGGCCCGCCTGCGCCGCCCGGCCAGTAGCGGTCGAGGATGCTCCGGGCGCCGCCGCGGCTGACGACGTAGGCGTGCGCGCCGAGGAGGCGGTCCGGCGGCCCGCAGGGGTCACGCGGCACGGCCGCAGCGCCGGCGCAGCGCTGCGCGGCGAGGTCGGCGGCGAACGCGGCGTCGTCGACGAGGTACGCGACCTGCACGAGCCCCCACCGTTCCGGCAGCCCCGCGATGAGCGCCTCGAGCTGGCGCGGCGGCCACCCGCCAGCGAGCTCGAGGCTCACGTCATCTTCGAGGACCAGCGCGGGGAAGACGCCGCGGCGCCAGGCGGCGTCCAAAGCGCGGAGGTGCGACAGCGTCGTCGCCACGATCCGCGCCGTCAAAGCGTCGCCCATGACGCCCCCGAGGCCCGGCGCCCGCCAGTCGCGCGTCGTCGCCTCGATCCCCAACCCGCGCCAAAGGCGCGTCGGCAACGGCGCCGAAACGGCGCCGCGCGCGTCGTCGGCGTCCACCGTGGTGGGGTCACCGACGAGGCCGTCGCCGTCGACGGCGTCGATGACGCGGACCGCGCCGTCCGCCAAGTCCGGCGCGACGGCCCGCAGCGCGTCGAAGAGCGCGCCGCGCCGCACGGCGCCGCGGTCGCGGAGCGAGATGACGTACGTCGCCAGCGGCCCCGCGCCCAGATCCGCCGCAGCGCCTTCATCGAGCGACGTTCCGTCGCCGGCGGCGGCCGACGCTTCTCCGCCGGGGCTAGCCGGCGCTCCGTCGCCTTTAGCGGTCGGCGCTCCGTCGACCTCGTCGGTCGACGCGCCGTCGGCCTCATCGGTAGACGCTTCGTCGGCGAGCGCCTTGGCGAGCGCGTGGTACATGACCTTGCCGTCGTGCGAGTTGAAGTGGAGGACGAGCGGCCGCCCGAAGACGCGCCGGCCCTTGTCCGCGCCGAGCGTCTGCTCGCCTGTCAGCGAGACGACCTGCGACGACGCGTCTGAACCGATGTCCTCCCCGACGTCGACGCGTCCCGGGTGTCGACGCGTCCCGGACGTCGTAGAGTCAAAGAGCGGGCCCGGGTTCCGCCCCCCCCGCGACGCACCACGGTGCGCTGGTCGGCGTCGCCTCTTTGCGGCGTTTTGCGGTCGAGCGCAGCTTGCCAGTCGTAGCCGTGCATCGTCTGGAAAAGTGCACCGGCGTCATCGACCTCGACGACGTCGGGCCGCAGCAACGCGAAGCGCTGGTAGAGGCGCTGGTCCTCCGGGGCGCAGAGGGCCATGTCGCCGAAAAGGGCCAAGACGTCTGCGACCATGCCCGTGACGTCCGCCGCCGCGCCAATAAACCCGCCAGAGTTCAGCGACGGGCCGCCGCCGAGCAAACTCGCGCAGACGACGGCGTCCGGCCTACGACGGCCACGCTCCCCGCGGCGCCGGGGCGCGTCGCACCAAGGCACCTCGCAAGACGGACAAGGCACCTCGCGGCCGCTTTGCCACCTCTTCCAAGTTGATGAGACTCTTCCCGGCGCGCGATTGGTGGAGCAATCGAAGGCGGTCGGCTCTCCCGGCAACTCACCAGCAGTCGACTTCAGCGGCGAAGACGATTTTGCGCGTGAACCGCGTCGAGAACGCGTCGATGATGTCGGCGCCGCCGCCGTTGAGCAAAACGTCGTAGGCGTCGACGAACATGACGACTTGGCGCGGGTCCATGGCCTCGAGGTGCGCCGCGACGAGGCGCAGCTTCCACGCGTGCGAGTACCCGCCGACCGCGGGCCAGTCCACCTCGAGGCCGAGTATATCGAGCGCCGCACCGGCCAAAAAAATCGAACGGCGCAGCACCGCGAGCTCCTCGCGAAGAGGGTCCGACGCGACCGTGATGACGCGGAGCCTGCGTCGAAGAAAAAATGGTGGCGCGGGGGGAGCGCCAGGCAAAAATGTTTCTCGCGATGGGATTCAAACCCATGATCTCGACCGTGTCAAGGTCGCACCCTAGCCGCTAGACGACGCAAGCCATTTTCATCAGTCGCTCAATCCAGGAATCAGCGTTCAAACCACAATAATTCGAGAACTCTCTGTGGTCACACTTCGATCAAATCCCGTGCGGGGCGCTGGGACGCACCCGAGGCCGGCGTCGTGCGGTGCCCTCGGCGAAACGAGGCGGAGCTCGGGCGTCGGGACGACGCGGCGGATCCAGTCCGCGGCACGCGCGTCTGCGGCGCGAACGTGCGCGCCGTCGATGAAGCCGCGCGAGGCGTCCGTCCCGAACGCGCGCTCGTCGAAGCGGCCGCCGCACGCCCGTACCACGTCGGCCAGGCCGTAGTGCGCCACGTCGCGCCACGCCTGCCGCAGAGACCGTCCGCGCGCGCCGCGCAGCGACCGACGCCGCCAGAGGCCGAGGGGAAGGCCGCAAACGGACCTGCCGCGGGTGTCGCACGCCCGCCGGGCCCTCGAGCGCCTCGATGAGCGCGGCGCAGCCCTATACACGGAAACATACCGTCCAAGTCGTGCGAGGAGACGGCGGTGTGACGGACCTCTGGGGCCGCCGCAATCGCGAAGAGCGCCGGGGAGGCCTGGCCGCGGAAGAGGAGGGTGAGGTCCGCGAGGGCCGTGCAGCCGGAGCTCGCGTCGAGCCTCGCCAGGGCGGCCACGTCCACCGCGACGCGGTCCCGCGGCGCCTCGGCAGCGGCGGCCGCCGCCGCGCGGCCGAGGCGCTCGATGACGCCGCCGATGGACAGGGCCCCGGCCCGCGCCGCCGCGGCCGGCGCACCCGCCGCCGCTGGCGCCGCTGGCGCGTGCACAGCAGGGCCCGGCGAGGCGCCCAAGGCGGTGCGATCAAAGTCCGCCGCCGCGAATCTGAGCCACGCCGCGAGGCAGGCGGCGGTGCGCATCGGCCGCGCGGCCGGCGAGGACCCGGCAACCTGCGACGGCGAGGCGCGCTCGCGACCTGGCCGAACCCGGGCCGACGACACCGGGACGGCCGCCCGAAGACCAACCAAAAGCACGTCCGCAATCGCCGAAACTCAGCTCAAATCGACCGAAAATTAGCGTTCGATGGTGGGAAGAGCAATTGGGCCTGGAGGTCCTTGTGCGAGTGGGGCCTCAGCGGGCTCGATAGGGGCTGCCGCGCCTTTGCGGACGCCGTGGGTGCCGCGTCGACGTAAAAGTCGTCGCCGTCGTCGTCGTCGTCGCGACCGCCGTCGTCTTCGTCGCGGCCGCAGGCCACCGGAGCGAGGAGGAGCTCCCAGAGGCGCTCGCGCGCGGCTGTGAGGCCGTACGAGTCCCGGCCAGCGTCGCCGTCGGCCCGCTCGGCGCGCGCGCCGGCCGACACCGCGACGGCGATGGCGCGCGAGAGCTTGACGCCGTCGCCGACACCAACGGCGGCGTCCAGCAACAGCTGCGTCTCGTCGGCAGACGACCGCCGCCGCGCCGCCGGCGCGCGCGCGGCCGCCGGCGACGCCAGCGACGCCGGCGACGCCGCGGACGTCGGCCGTGCGGCTGAGGCCGGGGAGGCGCCGGACGTGCCGCCGTCGTCGTCGCCACCCTCGTCGTCGTCGCCACCCCCGTTGTCGTCGTCGTCGTCGCCATCGTCGTCGCCATCGTCGAGGGTGCTCTCTTCGAGCGCCGAGGCGATTGCGCCCGTGAGGCTGTCGCCGTCGCCGGCCGACGTGACGACGTCGCGGAGCGCGGCGATGACGGGCAGCGCGCGGAGCACGACAGGCCGCCAGGGGAGGAGCGCGACGGCGCAGGGGTCCCGCGGCGCCGCTCCGGCCGCCTCGCCTCGCGACGGTCGCCGGCCGGGAGGCTGTGCGGCCGCCGCAACTCTTTCCGGCGGCCAGTCGAAGTCCGGGCGGTGCTGGGGCGGCGCGGTCCAGGACTCTCGGCGCTGCGTTTGCGCGGTCCAGCGCAGCGGCGGCGCGGCGGGGATGCGCGCAGCGGGTCTGACGGGGCGCAGCGCGCCGAGGCCGGCGCTTGCGCGCCTCTTGGCGAGGCGGGCGGAGTGCTGGAGCGCGGCGAGCCACTCGCGCGCCTCGCGGGCCGTGGGCGCGCGGAGGCAGAGGAGTCTCGGCGTGCCGTCGGCTTGCGCGCAGTTGACGAGCTGCAGGATCGCGCGCCCGTCGCCGCGCACCGCCGTCGCCGCGGTGACAGTGAAGGTGCCTTTGCAGGCACGCTCGCCGGCGTGCGCGTAATACGACAGGACGCCGCGCGCCGCGTCCAAAACGAACCACCGCCGCCGCCACCGCGGCACCGCGCGCAGCTGCGACGCCTGCTTCAGCAGCGACCCGCGCGTGCGCCGTGCAGACCCACCACCCGCCGACGCCGGCGAGCCGCCCGGCGCCGCAGCGTCCGGCGCGCTCGGCGCCGCACGGCAGAAGAACGAGTCGCGCGGCGGCGGCTCGTCGGATCTGCGGAGCGGCGAGGCCGTGGACCACGCCTTTGGCCGCTGGAGCACGTGCGCTGAGGCCACGTAAGCGACGAGGTCGCGGAGGTACGCGGCTCGCCGCGCGCGCCTGCCGCGCCCCGCACCGCGCGCTGGCGACGACGCCGGCGACGGCGCGGTCTGCCGCTCGAGCTCGTTCTGCAGGAACGGTGCCAGAAAGTCGAGGGAGAGGATGCGCACGACGTCGGCCTGCAGCCCGTCGAAGACGTCGTTTTCACAATCGCCACGGCCCAGCCTCCGGAGCACGGCGTCGCGCGCGGCGCCGCCGACGTTGACCTCAAGCGCTGCGCCGCGCTCGACGAATTTCCGCGCGACTTCCGTCGCCGCCACCGCGCGGCCGCTGGCGGCGCAGCCGCGGTAGCGTTCGACGGCGAGGTAGAACAACACGAGTTCCGTGGCGAAGCGCTCCTCGACAAACTTCGCAAACGCAGCAGCGATGCACTCCACGGCCGCGTCCACCGGCCCGCGCGCGGGCCCGCGAACCGCCCCGCGCGCCACCTCGGCGCGCAGCAGGTCGTGAAGCGTCAGCGCAGGCGGCGGCCTACGCGGCAAAGCGTCGCCGGGGCCCGAAAAGGCGGGCGGCGGCGCGAAGTCCGCTCGAGGGGTCCGCTGCGAGGCCGCCGCGCATCCGGCGCACCCGAGCTCCTTTGGCCGTCCCGGTCGAGGCCTCGCAGGTTTGGACTGGGCCGCGGCCATCTTCGGAAATATGCCCGTCAGCGTCTGCAGCAGCGTACTCCGCCGAGGCTCCTCCGCGCCCGAATCGGCCAACGCCGGCCGCGCCGCCATCCTGCGGAAGCACCGCGACACGCCTTCCGGCCGGGGTCGCTCCGTGGGAAAACGTTCGTGGAACCTTTTCAATCTTGGTCACACAATGGAACACTCTAGAGCTCGCCAAAGTTAGGAAGTTCGTTATCTTACTATCGGTTGCGTCGCGCGGCGTCGCACCGGTGTCGCACGACGTCGCACAGTGTCGCACGACGTCGCACCGGTGTCGCAGAGTGCTCGGTGTGGGGACTCCCAGTGATACCTCTGTCCTCTATCTCTGTCTCCCTTCTAACGCTTCTAAACGAAGTTTCTGAACTCTGACGAGCACGTTTGACTTCCTCAAAAGCCGGGAACGTCTGCCCAGCACCACTCAACGCGTGTGCCACGCTCTCGCCGGCAGCGGCGTCGAGGGGGACAACGCAATAGGCCCGGCGAGGAGCCCCTCGCTCAGGTTCGCCGCGGTCGGCCGGGTCTTGGGACCCGGGACCCCGGCCCGCGCCCCGGGACCCCGGCCCGCGCTGCGATGGACAGGCTCAGGGCGCAGAGCCCGGCGCGCGTCGCGCCCCACGACGCGGCGCCCGGGGGCTCGACGTCCGCCGGCTCGGGGGCGCCGGCGTCCGGGGCCGCTGCGTCTGGGCGGAGCGCGCGGGGGCCACCCGAGGGTCCGCCGCCCGCGGAGGTCGCCGCCGCCGCCGCCGCCGCCGCCGCCGAGCTGCCCGAGAGCCTGGTCGCGGCGGTGGACTCGGTGGCGGCGGCGTGCCGCGTCGCGCTGTCGCTGGCGCGGGACTCGGGCAGGCCCGCGCAGTCGCGTGCCGTGGCGGCGGCGCTCGCCGACCTCCTCGCCGGCGCCGAGGCGCAGGCCGCGGGGCAGGCCGCGCGGCAGGCGCCGGCGCCGGCCGCGACGCCGCGGGGCGCGCGGACAGTGCACGTCGCCGCCGCCGCCCCATCCGGCGGCGCGAACGACGACGTCAGTCCCCCACGGATCCAGCCGACCGCCTCGGCCTTTGACGCGTGGCGGCAGGTGCGGCCGACGGCCGGCGCGCGGCTGTTCGACGTCGTCAAGGGCGCGTCGGAAGTGAAACGGCGCGACGGCGAGGAGCCGGCCCTCGACGGACGGCACTCCAAGGTCCAAGACGGCGACCAGGGCGCCCCCAAGAGGCGCCCAGGCGGCCTCTTCGGCGTCATCGACCCGCTCGGCGGGTGCGTCCGCCCTCTTCGGTGTTTCCTGCCTTGACTTTTCACGCGGTAGGCCGCGCGTCTCCTGGGACCTCTTCGGCGGTAAGCGTCGTCGCGCCTCGGCCGAGGCGGGCCCCACCAGTATCCCCAGGATCCTCAACCGCCTATATAACCGCCTCTATGTAGGTGCTCTGCTGATGTACGTGCTGGTAGTAGAGCCGATGACTATCGGCTTCTTCTCCGACTCCATGGTGGCCCCGTCGACGGCGCTGGGCGTCTGGAACAGGTGCTTAGACGGCTTCTTCGTCGGCGACTTGTTGCTCAACTTCCGCACGGGGTTTTTCGAGCGAGGCGCTTTGGTCATGGAGCCCAAAGCCGTGGCAGGCCATTACGTGCGCACCTGGTTCGTCTTGGACTTTGTCAGCATCGCGCCCCCTCTCCTCGACGTCGCGTCGGCGATTACGGGCGGCGACGCCGGCGGCGCGGCGGTGGGTTCGCTTGCGTTGGTGAAGATTGGCCGCGTGGCAAAAGTTCTGAAGATAGCCCGAATCGGCAAACTGGCAAAGTTCCTCGGCGACGACTCCGCGTTGGCCGACTCGGTTGACGACTTCATCTCTTCGTCCTCTTCTTTA